CTATAATTATAATATCACATAATATTATAAATTTATAATATGATATATTATTATTTAATTAATATTTTTATTTAAAAATTTATTTATAATATTATATGTTGTTATTTATTTAATACCAAATTATATCTCATTAAAATGTCACCTAGCAATTGTATGATAGAAAAACCCTTCTTTAAATGAGGAAGCTTCCGCTTTGGGAAGTAGTGGAGGGAACCTTTGCATTTATTAAAAGTAGGTAAACCTAATGAGCTCCTTCCATTCCCTAAGTTTGCATATTTTCTTTTTCTCATTTTTACTCTATTTCTCTGCTCTTTCCATTATCCCTTTGTTTTCTTTCTTTCCCCATGGTTTTGCTTTTGGGGAGCCACAGCCCAACTCTGATGTCTTTAAACCTACTTAATTATTATTAACCCATTTTAGCACTCAAGTCTTTAATTTAAGTCTGCTGTAAACCTGCCAAATTTGCATGTCTTACCGGTGCCCACCCAGGGACGGATCTTCATGTAAAATTGAGGGGCCATTAAAATTTCAAAACCCTTACATATGTAATGTGTTCTTTTATTAATAGCTTTTTTAAGAACAAAGGTTAAGGAGTGTGATTAATGTATATTTTTACAATATTAATTTATATAAAAAATGTAAATATTGACTTTGAATTAATCAATTAAAATAATTTATGTGTCAATGATATTAAAATAAATATCAACTTTTTAAAAAAAATTATTTAAATTAATTTAAAAAATACATTTATTTTACCCTTATCTTATATCCTTAGAGAAATCCTTTTATTACTTGGCCCTCAAAGGCTCCAAGATTTTCTTTCTAATTAGGAGTGAGCATGGGTAGATATGGATTAGATAGTTGCCTATACCTGTATTTGACTTGAATAATGACAAATACAAGATTTCAATACCTAATACTAATTCGGGTATTGAAAATTTATGCTCATTACCCAACTTGCTGGGACAGGTATACTTGTATACCTATTAAATTTTACATTCAAAATACATAAGTTAATATACAAGTACAAATTCATACAAATAATATAAGTTTATATATAAAACAAAATGATCCACACACTCAATACTTATCCAATACTTAGTAGATATGCATTTTTCATATCCAGTATTTAATTATCTCTTTACAGGTGCAGGTAAAATACCTACTCAAAGAAATTAGGTACCTACAGATATTAGATATACCCATACCTGATGCTAAGCCTTATTTCTAATTAATTATCCTAAAAAATTTTCTGTCTTCTCAAATTTTGGTTAAGTTCTGTTCCTATGTCCATATAACTTGGGCCATATCTG